CACACACACACACACATCCCCCCTCCACCCACACAGTCCTGCTCATGTGATGCCACTGCTGGAGATTGTCCGGACGGACAAGACATCAGCACAGGTCATCGTGGATGTGCTTCAGCTGGGGAAGGTGATCCAAAAGGTGCCGGTGGTGGTTGGTAATTGTACCGGGTTTGCATTGAACCGGGTATTCTTTCCGTACACGATGGCAGCATCCTTACTGGTAGATCTTGGCGTTGACCCGTACCGTATTGACAAGGTCATTGCAGGCTTTGGAATGCCAATGGGCCCTTTCAGGTATATGGTTGTGAATCATTCTTCCATGACTTTGATCTCATTGCTATCCTAAGTCAAGTAGAGAAAAACCCATCTGCTGGTTGTGAAATTTTGAACACACGGAATTGTGCCTACAGCGTAAGGTTGCGATCTCTTCATGGACATGCAGAAAAAAAGGGATTGCTCATCTGCATAATGTGTCTGTATAATGCCCCCATGTCAGTAGTAGATCGGCCATGCCATGCCAATCTCCAAGCTCTCACCTTGTGGGACATGGTTAGCTGAAGGCTCCCCCTTCGGACCTTCGGCAGAAGTGTGGTGGACATGCACAGCCTAGATGCATCCACACGAGCACACAAACGTGGATGCTGGAAATGCACAGTTCCGTGCCCTCAGGGGGAGGGGGTTCGAGATTGAGGGATGCTGGGATGCTGGAACAGGTGTATGGAAAAAGTGGGGAGTTGAGGGGGTGGCCACGAGTGCTTTTTATGGAGGGGGGAGATATGGGGGGGAATAGGGGAAGGAGAACCCATCCTTTTTTTTTTCTTTTTGTTTTTCTTTTTATAACCTCCATGATCGCACGCCAATCCAATCTGTGGCACGGACATGGATGTGCCCGCAGACATGCGGACTGGACATATCTGCTGCTGAACTTATGAGGAAAATTAGACATCATGGAGTTCGGTTTTTCTTTGTCTAAAGAATACAAATAACAAATAGTGGAAAACAAAAGGAGGAACATGGATGCACCCACAGACATGCGGACTGGACGTATCTGCTGCTGATCTGATTATGAACTTATGAGGAAAATTAGACACCATGGAGATCGGTTTTTATTTGTCTAAAGAATACACAAAGAAAACAAATAACAAATAGTGGAAAACAAAAGGAGTTTTAAAAACACAAGGGGAAAACAAACTTGTCTTGAGACTGATGCATGCCTATCAGTGGATAGGGAACACGCGGAAGCAAGGAATCACCAGCATCAACAAAGACATGCGTACAATGCAGCGGAGGACTGAAAATGAACGATCTAACTCGTCAGACTCATGACTCAACATACGCATACACCCTCGTCAAGTGAAGGTGCAAGGAGGGAACATACACAGATGAAAGGTCCCTCCTTGCGCCACACACATATGGGAGAACACCATAGATGATGAAGGTGGGAGATGGAGACGAAGTGAAAAACCAGATGAAGAGAGTGACAACTCCAGTGTAGAAGCCGAATAATAATAATCCCTCTCCACTTCCCAGAACATCACCAAATACAATGTGAAGTCCGGACCTAGGGGCATAACCTCCCTGAAATAGTTGCCAAGTCTCCAGTCTCCCTCTCACACCGCAAGTAGGACAGGGGAAGCGGATATGGAGGGGTAGAGGAGAAGAATAAGCAAAGGACTCTCTCTCTCTCTCTCTCTCTCTCTCTCTCTCTCTCTCTCTCTCTCTCTCTCTCTCTCGTGCGCGCGCGCGGCCACCAAAGCCGCCCAAAAAGAGGGTATGCGGTTTGGGGTTCTATTCAGATCAGTCGTATGCTGAGTTTGAAATAATTTTGTATATTTGGTGGTTGTAGACTTGCAGATTTGGTTGGGATGCAAGTGTCATTGGCTGTTGGGCAACAGTTCAAGAATGCCTATTCAGAACGATCGTATGCCTCGACATTGGTTCCGTCTATGGTCAAGGATGAACGCCTTGGTGAGTTACTTATCTCTGAGGATTCCGTTTCCTTGGGCCCAGTCCCGTCATCCATTATTGTCTTCGGCTGAACCCCCCCTGATGCTTTTCAACCCGAGAACCCTATGCACCCAAAAAGTTGCTTACATTCCAGTGAATTTTCTTCTCCCCTCTTCCCTTCTCTGGACACCCCCCCCCCCCCCCCCCCTTTCCCCCCCCCCCCCCCCCCCCCCCCCCCCCCCCCCCCCCCCCCCCCCCCCCCCCCCCCCCCCCCCCCCCCCCCCTGCCCTTTAACCCACCACGGAATCGCCGAATTGATCTCTGGCTCTCAAAATCAACATGCTTGCCAAGCTGAGGCTACCTCTCTACTGCCTGAACCGTTGTCGGCAAAATTGAAGGTCAGAACAAGGGTTTTGACTCTGGAGCCTCTGGATTTGTGGTATCCAAAAGGCTTGAGCACACAAACCTCAGTGTGTGAATAGAATACAAGGAGAGACCATCCAGGACCCAAATTCAACCAAGGGATCAATCCTTTGTTATGTCAAAAACTCCATTCATTTGGGGTTTACAGCACTCGGCGAATTCAACAACAATTCCGGCAACTTCATGTCAGTCACTGCAACACTCCTGAGTTCAGTGCTTATTACTGCTTACAAAAAATGCTCTCAGGGCATACGCACCCTAGGACCTTATTTCTGCAGAAATTGTGGCGTTTGCGACCGGGGAACTCGAAATTTGCCTCTCGACCGAGTCACTATGCAACAACATTTTGGAAAAGACATGGTTACAGTGTTCCGTCAATTGCGCATATGCCACTAGGCCGAGTCACATGGCAACTGGTGCAATTTTTAATTCTCCCCTCTGGTGCAATTTTCACAATATCATTTCTCTCCATTTTCCTTCTTTTTTTTTCTTTTTTTTTCTTTTTTTTTTCTTTTCTTTTTCCCCCCCCCCCTTTTTTTTTTTTTTTTTTTTTTTTTTTTTTTTTTTTTTTTTTTTTTTTTTCCCCCCCCCCCCTTTTTTTTTTTTTGAAATGACGACGGCCTCGAGATATCATCATCGAGTTGACCGGCCCCAGGTAATTCAGAATTATTTTATTCTGTTCATCTGATGGCAGCTGGATTCAAACTTGGGTCTGTATTTCATTGGGTGTACCAACTGAGCTAGGCAGGTTGGTTAAACGGAACTTAAACCGAAAAAGGAAGTATGGCTTCGCTATCACCTCCAGAGGTGATCGCAAATTCCAAGCACTCGTGGCTCGGCAGGTCGCTGATATATGGGGTGCTGTGTTACTGTGAACCGGCTGGAAATTTTGAAAATTTTAATCTTGGGAAAAGAGGTCCTAGACTCCTAATGGGACTATACCCTCAGATTGTCCTTTAAGACGTCTGTTAAAACTGGAACATGGAGGTCCTCCGGGACATCCGTTAAAATTGGAAAATACAGAGAAGATTAGCATGGGCCCTGGACGAGGATGATATGCATAAATCGAGAAACAGACTTCTCCAGGAAGTTTATTAAAAAAAAAAAAACTGTAACACAGAAGATCAGCATGCCACGACACTCTGCCGGGTTCAAGACCTGGTCAGATACTTTCGACCAAGGGACACCTGAGGCTGCGGCACCATCCTTTTCAAACAGCACTGTTGCCAAGGCCAGCATCACTCCCCCTTGCAAGCAAAGCCTTGGCACAACTGAATTACTGTGGATTACCTGGGCCTGGTCAGTGGTGGTGCAGTATCATTAAGGTCGGAGCCCTGCTGTCCAAGAACATGGCCAAGTGCACTTCTGATGTGTGTGCCACTTGTGGCCTGGCTCCTCAATGTCCTGGCACATACGGTTTTCAACGTCACTGTATGAGGGACGGTAAATCTGTTTTCGTGCCAGCAATAACACCATACTGGTGTCAGCAATAAATACTGCCAGACCGGCGCCCAACTTCTTTTTTGTCATTTGACAATTTTAGGAAAATGTGAAAACGACGTTTTAGAAAATTGCGGCAAGCATGTGAAACCAAGTAAACCAACTATTTACAAATGCATTAGAACCACTCGATCGACCTTGCAGTGGCTTGGGCACGATCGGGTGGTGCCATTAGCTTCGGCTGGTGTGCAAATTTGTCTTCATTGTGTGGTGGCTATGTCTACTTNCGGGTGGTGCCATTAGCTTCGGCTGGTGTGCAAATTTGTCTTCATTGTGTGGTGGCTATGTCTACTTCGATTGTGCATGTGTGTGACTGGGTACATCGGATCACGGGGAAAAACGAGTACCCGTGTTGGGGTGGGGTTAAGTGATCATCTTGGGGCTTAACTTTCACCCCGGTCCACTTTACCGTTTGGTTGAGTGTTTGCCTCCGGATAGGGAGGTCACGTGTTCGATCCTTGGACAGTGAGGACTGACAGGAGACTATTTGATGACACTACGGTAGGTAATGCACCCGACATTGGAAAAATTGGGCCACAGCCGTTCGGATTATCAAACAGTGAGGCATGCCGTCCAATGGTATTCAACATGTTTTTCATTAAACCAGGCCATTACCAGCCCATATGGGGCCTTGGCCAGATGGTTTTCATTTTTTTTCCGAAATAACCACAGTAATCTGCTTTTCACATTAGTTTGATTTTTATCTGGACAGAGGGGCTAGGCCCTAAAGATCGTCGCCCTCTTGAAATTGAAAAAATGGTGACTGCACACTGGAGGATGACACCCACAGGCATCCACTCAAATTCTTCGGAAAGGAAAGCGAACTTGTTCCCTGAAGTTGTGTGCAACAGGCCCATCTCGCCCGAGTTGTTGCTTGAGCCACAACTGCTTCGGGATGAACCAACCGGCCTAGCGCAATTGGTACACAGTACTACACATCAAGTTGGCATGAACTGTTGAAATACAAACCTGCGTTCGAAGCTGGATGGAACCAGATAAGTTTTATCTGGGGCTGTTCAGGTCAAACTTCGAAGATTTGTCAGGATGAAACAGCTTCTCTGGATGGAACCAGAGTTACCAGATAAGTTTTATCTGGGGCTGTTCATGTGTCAGGATGAAACAGCTTATGATATGACTGGCGAGCTTAAAAGGGTAGTGGACAACGATGGATAGATTGGGTGAGAGCAACCATTGCAGTTAGCAGTAAGAGAACCATGGTTTTCTGAGAACAAGCTGACCTTTTGACTGAGTTCTCGCCTGAGATTCCCGTCTCTGCTATGTGTTGCCTTGTCACTGTGGGCAGTGTGGTAGGTGAATGTACCTTTCTCTAACTTTTGGGTCTGCTGTCTATTTCAAGGTACTAACTTGTTGGTCGTGCTGCTGTTGTGTGTCTCGCAAGGGACATATTTAGGGACAAGACTTAAATTTTAGCTGGTAGGTGAAAGTAGGAGAGACAGGGGCATGGTGGTAAATGCATAGGTATCCGGTAGGGATTTTCCATGAACTTGAAGCAGACCTATAGTTCGGTAGAAGTCAAAACAGGTACAGAAATGGTACCGGACGTACCCAGACCAAGATGACGCCAAATACGACTGGAGGAAGGTGGGATTATAGACTACCCAGACCAAGATGACGCCAGATACGACTGGAGGGAAGTGGGATTATAGACTACATGTCCCAAGGTGGGATTATAGACTACATGCCGCTGCCTCTTTCCAAGTCTGGCAGGCCTAGAGGTGAGGTGGGTGGGCGTAGGAAGTCTCTCACCTGGAGACAGCTTCGCCAGTGGACCTAGCGAAATGTGGTGGGTTGAAGGAGGAGGAGCTGTTTACTGGAGAAGGAGCTGTGGATTAGACAAGAAGGCCTCCATGTGGAGGTTGAGGAGAACGGCGAAGGAGGAGGGTTTGTCTATATTGGGCCCACCAAAAACTACTAGCTCACAAGAGTGGCACTTTTCACTCAAGTGCTTCCTTTTCACATACAACCCACTGTTAGTTCCTCTACAAAGCAACCAATTGTTGGAGAGAAAAGCAATACAGCATGATGTTGGTGGGTTGTGTGTAACAAAGCAAGCAATCGAATGAACATTGAACGCTCTTGTGGGCACCTTTGGACTTCTACAGACCGTGTAACGACTGACTCAAAAGGTGAGAGCATGAGAAGTATGCTGTGAGAGCAGGGATTTCTTAAGCCGCTAGTACACTGGCCCAGCCTTGCAGAAAGCTTTTGTCGCCACAAGCAAAACTCGGAGGCGCTGTGCGGCCAGGTGCACCAATGGAAAAAAAAAAATCGGCAGCCTCCGGGTTTCATGCTGACACCCGCAGGCTGATGTGTGTTGTACTGGTGCTTTAAAGTTTAAAGGAGACTTTGTACCAGGGGAAAATATGAAATACGCCAGTGCATCAGGGTAAAGCACATTTTCATGTTGTTGTGCCTTTTTTTTTTTTTTTTTTTTTCCCCCTGTGCAGGTGAGAAGACCAAAAAGGGATTTTATCTCTACGATGCCAAGAGGAAGGCTAGCCCTGACCCCGAGTTGAAAAAATATTTGGAGGCATCACGAAAGGCATCGAACATCATGCCAAATGGAAAGGTATGAATACTATGAATGTTTTAACTCTTAAGTCAAATGCTAGGTGTCATTGTGCTGCTGTTAGTTTTTGTACTGCATTTCTGCTTCCCCCCCCCCCCCCCCCCCCCTTTCCCCTTGCAAGTAGCCGTAGCAGTTTCATTAAACATCAACTGATGGAGGGCAGGAATTCCTCCACATCTCAACCCGGAAGACCTGGGACCATGACCCAGTTAGGCTTTTGGCTTTTGCTGGAAACCGGGTCCAGTGTTCCGAGTTTCAAATTCTTTTTGCGTGCATGCGCTACATTCAGTTGGCAAAACGTGCGAATAGCTCTCTAAAGAACCTTTGCTTTTGTTGAGACTATTGCAAGTGAATAGGCACAATTTAAGGCATAGATCTATAAACTAGTATAAAGTTATGAACCAGCAAATAGGCAGAAGCACAAACAGGAGGGCATTGTTGTTAGGTAATTGCAAGAACCCCTAAAACCCTGTTGTTGGTCAATGGTGTATGAGAGCCTGTAACTTCGTCGTAAATCTCGATCCTCATGCATACAGTGATAGGGAAAGAAGGGGGTGGAGGTGGGGGGACGGGGGCGATCCCTATGAAATTCACGAGTTAAGAAAGGAAGGGCAATACCATGGTAAAACCGGCATTGACAAAAGTCAACGAAGGCAACAAAACTCGACAGAGGTGGGGGGGGGGGGGGGGGATTTTGGGAAAAAAAAAAGGGGGGGAAAAAAAAAAAAAAAAAAAAAAAAAAAAAAAAGGGGGGGGGGGGGGGGGGGGGGGGGGGGGAATTCTGGAAGAGATAAAGTGATGGAAGAATGAAAAAGACAAAGAAGATGAACATTAGAGTATGTACTCCGCGATTCTCAGTGAGAAATATGTGTGGTGGTATTATTCTCGGTTTGTGCAGCCTGTCCAGGTGACAGACAAAGAAATACTGGAGATGATCTTCTTCCCAGTTGTCAATGAAGCATGCCGTGTGATGGACGAGAGAATCGTGGGGCAGGCTTCAGACCTTGATATTGCCACTGTTCTCAGCTTTGGCTTTCCTCCTTACAGGTACTTCCTGCAGAAAAATGCCTTTCGCCAGAGCTGCCATTCACATATGCATCTCTGGGTTTTATCTCTGTACATTGCGAGTTACTCTGTATCTATATATTGTGTGTGTGCATGGGTGTGTGCGTGTGTTGTGGCCTTTGTGGGTGTGTTGTACCTGTGTGTGTTGTGTGTTTGCGTGCAGGCGTGTGTTCGTGTGTGTGTCTGTTCTGTGTGTGCATGAGTGCATGTGCGTACGTTTGTGTGTGTGTGTGTGTGTGTGTGTGTGTGTGTGTGTGTGTGTGTGTGTGTGCATGCACAGGCACATGCTGCAGAAGAGGGGTGGAAGGGGGAGGGAGGGGTTTGTAAGTGCAAGGTTTCTCATTCACACGTCAGTCTTGAGCACAAAAGAGATTCAGAATTCATGAAACAGCTGTACCACAGCACTGAAAAGCTGTGTTAATCACATGGCGAGCTTCGATCCAAGAGAAACTGCACGTAGACCAAGGACCAACACTCATCGTTTATGGCATGGACTACCAGGGTCATTTTGAATTTAAATAAAAAATGGACTATATCAGAGGATTATTCTCGGTTTGTGCTTCAGTGTGCCACCATTTAGTCTGTGATGTTGGTGTGTTGGTTTGTTTGTTTATCTGTTGTCTCATATCACAAGTGTTCTCCCTGAGTGTCAATCTGCGGAGCAAGGAGTGACACATTATGTGCTGTGCATTGTCTTAATGCCTGTGTTAGAGCCACGAGGTTCTCCCAAAGAGAAGGTTGTGAGCCCTATGAAAGCACCGTTCTCACCAATTGCCTCTATAATAGTCTATATAGCACCTCCATCTTCTCCCGAACAGAATGCCTGCCCACTACGACTGTATTCGAGGGCAAGTTTTGGGCCATTTATGGCTGCAATAGCTTGACATTCGATGAGGTGGGAAAGGGCAAGAGTGAAGAATGGTCGGCTGGAGCTGCTGGGCATTAGGTTGAAGGGCGGATGTTTTCAGGGAAGCATGCCGAGCTTTCAGCTTTGTCCATGCCCCTTCTATGACCAGCTCGAGTCTCTGCAGCACTGCCTGCCTTAGGCCCCCGCTCTACTCTCTGTATGATGAGCAAGCAACTCGTGACTGATCTGGTTTCAGATGCTATCACACTATGTATCTTATGATTCAGCGGCATATTCGTTCAGTCATTTCATTTTCGTTGAATTCTTGGACCTCCTTTCTAAACATTGTTACTTTTTTTATTCAGTCTTTTAGGTGCTTTTTTTCGTTCGTTCGGGATTACCTGCATGTGTTCATAGCTTTGCCACAGATTCGCATTGAGGAATCTTTTTATCAAGTTTTTTTTTTTTTTTTAAATGGCAAGCCTATCTTTGGTTCTGTTAAAAAGAACAGAACAACTGGCGCCTACGATCACCTATCTGCAATTGAGCAGATTCTCAAACTGCAACTAACGCTCCTTTGTAAAATTTGTTTATTTTTACGGTGCGCCGTCTCACAACCGATTTCGATGGGCTTTCAACTCAATCAAAGCCTAGCCAACATCACTCCCATTGCGCAATGTCGCTTAAAGCATCCAACTCACCCAATTGGGAACAACTCGCTGGGGACCGCAGCATGTTGAAAAAGAGCGGAAAAGGCGCGTGAGCTGTTCGGTCTTATGGTGAAGTTCATGGATCCCGTCGAAACAAACGTAAGGGCAAGTGGTAACCAATCCACTTCTGTCAACGGTAGCGAACTCGGAGGTAGAGGGTTCGCACAGGACAAAGCGTATTCAGACCATACATGTGGTGCATTGCGATGCGCGCGCACTGCATGCGGCGCACCTCTAAAAACGGGGGTCGGAAAAAGAAAAAAAAACCTTGTGAGGGGCGGTAGTAGACCCTCAAACGATCTCAAATGTTCTCAATGATCTGTACAATTCGAGATGGGACGCTGGGCCCGGTTCCCAGCACGTGCTGCTCCCCACGAATAGACTGGAGCACTTGCTTTAAAAAAAAAAAAAAAAAAAGGGACCCGGCCCCCTGCTCGCGTAAAATAAGAAACGGGCAGCCAATTTTTATTTGGAGGCCGCACATTGCCCTGAAAGCTTTTCGTAAAACCTGTAATCCGTCCGTCTCCCAGCCCTAAAAACCCTGGTTCAAGAATTCTGGGATTACTCGATGTCCACGCAAGAAAGGGCCGCATCAAAAGTGCACTGGTTCAATGAGGGGGTAGCACAATTGAGAGATAGAATAAAAAAATTCTCTATGTCCCACGCACGAGAACGCAAGGCGGTATTAGACAACCTTCTGCACAAATTAGAAAACTGGGATAGGGAGCTACAATCAGCCCCCCTGGATGACACAGCCTACCATAGGCTGCAAGCGGCAAGGGACCATCTACAATCCTATCTGGATGACCAGGCAGAAGCATGGCGCATTCACGCACGAATAAGGAAACAAGACACAGATGGGACAACGGCAAAGGCATTCTTCCGGAAGGCTAAAGCAAGAGCAAGGCAGGCGGCAATAGCATCGCTTCGCCACCCCTTCGACCATTCTCTACCAAAAGCGAATAATGCATACACTGTGGTATACTATGCTGCACAGTTTTATCAGAAGYTGTACGCCTCAGAGTCRCATCGATGGGGACCAAGACATGTGGCAGAAACACAACACACGATGCTCCAACACCTCCCATCAATGCTGTCATCACAACAAAAACAGCACCTTGAAGAGCCATTAACCATAGATGAGCTGTTAGAGGCTCTGAAAGGGATAGAGGACGAAAAGACCCCGGGATTTGACTCTTTTCCCAAAGAGTTCTGGCTCCAATACTGGAACATTTTTCAAGACAGCATAAAGATTTACGTAAACGCTGTCCAAAAAGAAGGAAGTTTTGGGGGTCTGATTAGCCAAGGAGTGACCACACTCTTGTACAAAAAAGGAGATAAGGAAGATATYCGTAACTATCGCCCRATCACRCTYCTTCCCCTCCCATATAAGATGGTTTCCAAAGCCCTCRCCAACCGATTACTCYYWTTCATGAACCATCTCATATTCCAGGATCAGACTGGGTTTATGCCACAAAGAAACATACAAGATAATGTTCTCTTAGTAAATGAGACCATTAAGTACGCTAGGCAGCACCGTAAGGAAGCCACAGTCCTGTTCATTGATTTCGAAAAAACGTATGACCATGTGGACTGGGACTTCCTAGACTGTTGCCTAATCAAAATGAATTTTGGGGTCTGCTTCAAAGCGTGGGTATCCATCATGCACAGATCAGCAACTACAAATATTATGGTCAACGGACACCTCTCCCCACCATTCCCACTGCAGAGATCGGTTAGGCAGGGAGACCCCGTGCCCCCCCTTCTCTTTGTATTGGTCATGGAGACACTAGTTGCAATAATCAGGAATAACTCGGCCATAGAACGCATTGACATTCCCGAACTGCCCCCCCACATGGTGCCAGTGAGTCTTTCTTTGCAGATGACCTTACAGTCCTCATCAGGGCCTCCGCTACATCGATCCAGGCATTAACAGATACCATCCATAACTTCGAAGTTGCGGCGGATATGAAGGTTAATTGGGGGACAAAGACGGAGGGATGGTGGCTCGCCACGCAAGACACCCCACCACCGCAACACCCGCCAGTCAACTGGCGCCCAAGGGAATTCGTCTGACAGCTATGGGCCCCCTGGCAGATCACGGACAGACACTCGTCCAGCTGGCCTTGCAAAAACTGGCGAAGTGGGATGACCTCCACACATCGCTGGTGGGAAGGGCGCTGGCAATAAACAACGCTGTTCTATCTACCATCTGGTACAAAACGGTCTTTTGGGAAATCCCCAAAAAACACCTCGGACAACTTCGGGCAGCGTTGTCAGCGTACCTATGCAGAAACGATCACAACTTGACGAAATGTCTGAAGAGAGTGGCCTGGAAGTATGTGGCCCAACCAAAGAGAGTGGGTGGGTTGGGCATCTTGGACCCGGGAGACGAGATCAAGGCCCTAATTTTCAAAGTGATTATTCGCCTATTGGTGGCAAACGACGTACCGTGGCTGCCGCTTGCATATGTGCAGCTAGCGAACCTGGCCCCTCCCTCCCACCCAGAGGCCTCATTTCACCCCCTTCGATGTTTGACAAACAAAGACTGGTCAGTGTCTGGCCCCCCACACCACAAGAATGATGGGATGGCTCGCAATAACGTGTGAAGGGTCCTTAAACACGACCCATTGTGGGCCGCGATATTGCAATTGTGGAGGGAAATTAGCCCAGCCAAGAAGCCACCCCCTCTAAGGTGGCAAGAAATATGGCGGCAGCCATTATTTGGCAACCTCGACATATGTGATGCAACAGGCTCGCCGTTCTCCATGGCCGCCAACTCCACCTAGCTCGCATGGGTGAGAAACGGCCTCTTCTGCGTGGGAGACATCTTGGACAATCACAGAGGTACATGGAAGACTGTGCAGCAGCTACAGCGAAACCTGAAATACGTTAGGAAAAGTCAGGACAAGCTGGACCTCATCCATACGGCAGTCCCGCCTTCGTGGGTCGCTGCACTACAAAAAGGTCCCATGATAGGCAGTATGGACTGGGTAACGCAGATCACTCACAACCCTATCCCCATGACCATCTTTAGGGTGGCTCAGTGCATAGGGCAACAGGCATATCTACAGGCATATGAACCAGAAGTCCCGGGGGCACGTTGGGCTCCCCTGAAAAGAGACCCAGAACTGGATAGGAGCCTTCCAATGGAAGATTTGACTAGGGTGAGGGTAGTAGGGGACGACGACACAGGCTACTTTGCCTATGAAATGTCTACCCCAGTGGAAGCACTCGCGTTCGACCCGGATGAATGGGTCTGGAAAGGCCGGAAACCCACACCAATTTGGCAATACTCGGTACGCGAGGGGTACAAACACGCTCACAAACCACAGGCCTCTACTTCCGTAATACAAACTCGGTGGACAAGAGATTCACCATTACAACACGGGGAGCTAAATCACATCTCCTGGACCACATACGCT